AGAAGAGGGCACTGTCTGCGACAGTCATTCCCCGAAGTTCCCCGTGTTCCCCAAAGTCTGGTGCCAGCTGCCTCAGTGTCACAGAGACACACAGAGCGGGGGGCATCCCCCTAAACCTGGCAAGGAAACCACAGCTGGCCCAGACGGCCTGTTGTCAGGGAACCCACAATGGGCGCTCATGGCCATCCGAGCCCACAAGCTGTCATTCTAACACAGTCTAGACTTCCACCCTGGCTTAACAGCACACACGTCAACACACCTGCACCCAGGCCAGGCCAGGCCCCGGGCTCTGTGGACCCAGAGCTGAGCCAGATTCAGCCCTTCTCTGGAGGTGCCCCCAGTCTGCAGGAGACCAGAGAACAGTGAGTGCTAATAAATAGAATGTATTGAATACTTATTATTCTAAACCTAGATTAACCTTCACAAAAAACCATCATTGTCCCCATTCTACCCTCCGTGGAAACTGAGGCTCACAGAGGCTCAGGAACTCGCCCAAGGCCTCCCAGTTGGTGAGGGATGCAGGCAGGAGCACACTGGAGCTGCCTAGTGTAGCCTGGAGGGCTCCAGAGGGAGGTGGCGCCTGAGTGGAGACTTGAGAGATGAGTAGCAGCAGAAGAGCGGAAAGGAGAGCAGGGAAGGCAGGGGACTGGGTTCCTCCCTGGCTTCACTCAGCACCGTTCCTACAGCCTGTGGTGCACCAGAGCTGGGGACTCACGCAGAGCGCCCGCCCGTAATAAACTGGGAAGCACAGGGTGCCCAGGGGAGGAAGGTGAGATGGCTGTCAGGGAAGGCTTCCTGGAGGAAGTGCTGTCTAAACCAGCCGTGGGCAAACTATGGCCCACGGGCCGGATCCAGCCCGTTTGAAATGAATAAAACTAAATAAAAAAAAAAAGACCGTACTCTTTTATGTAATGATGTTTACTTTGAATTTATATTAGTTCACACAAACACTCCATCCATGCTTTTTTTCCGGCCCTCCGGTCCAGTTTAAGAACCCACTGTGGCCCTCGAGTCAAAAAGTTTGCCCACCCCTGGTCTAAACTGATTTTGGAAAGGATACGTGGAAAGGACAAGAAGGTGGATGGGGGAGACAGAGAGTTCCAGGCTGAAGGAACAGCCAGGACAAAGGTGGTTCAAGGACAAGTGGGGGAACTGGGGTGGCTGGAGCGGCACCAGTGAGAGGAGGGGGGTGACCTGAGAACATGAAGGAGTCTGGAAGCTCCTGAGGACTTCGCACAGGGAGGCACCCCAGCCTGAGCAGCCGTCCGCCCTCCGGGGTGAAGTGCGCAGGCAGCAGTGGGCACCTCCGGTGTTAGATGGGTCACAGTACTCACATCAGGGGTTGCTGTGAGAACCAGGTTCGAGTCAGCAAGCGGCCCTTCTCCCTCCATGAGGAGCCTGGCAGTGGTGCCTTCCTTCCCCCACCCGCACAAGTGGAGCAATTACCAGATCGAAACAGATGCCTCCTCTCCTTGGACCCTGGAGCCCAGCTTACCCTCCAGTCACCACAGTCTCTTCCTGGGCTGGGTGGTACCAGGTGGCTTGGGAGGCAGCCCGGGCCTCTGGGCTTCTGAGGCTCTCCCCCAGGGCCCTTGAGGATATGGGGGCTCACTTAGCTATGCTGGGAGTTGGGGAGGCAAGGTGACCTCTTCTCTCCTCACCATAAATCACAGAGCCGGAAGGGACAGCTGAGGTCATCCTAATGCAGTGGTTCTCACCCTTGGCTGCACATTAGAATCACCTGGGAATCTTTTAAAAATCCTGATTTCCGGGCCCCATCCTCCGGAAATTCTGTTTCTTTGTCATGGGGCGGGGCCACAACATTAGTAACAAAGAAACAATTTCCGGAGAATGAAGCCCAGACATCAGGATTTTAAAAAGATTCCCAGGTGATTCTAATGTGCAGCCAAGGTTGAGAACCACTGTCCTAATGGAAGCTCCCACTCAATCTGGAAGCCCTGACCTAGCATCCCAACAGGTGGCCACCCCCAAATCTGAGGGCTGTCACCTGGGGCAGGCCATGAACTCGGAGAGTTGAACTAAAGAGGCAGTACCTGGTCTGAGTCACATTAAAATCCTGGTCAGCCAAAACCAGAGACCTTTTCCTTCCACAGGAGTTCAACCAAGTCTGTGCCACAGAGAGGCCCTGAGGGAGAGGGGGAGGCTGACAGGGGCTTCGGAACCATAAGCCTTCACTTGACAGCTGACCAGCTGGGAGGCCTGGCCAATCATCTCCGCCAGCTGAGCGTTATTTTCCTTATCTGTAACTCAACTGCGCAGCCCAGTGAGGCAGTCAGCAGTCGTAAATAATGACTGCTCCCTTGAAATGTGGCCAGTACACCTGGAACTGAACTTTTAAAAAAATTAAATTTAAAAGCCTGAAGCAGTTTTATAAACATTTGAATAAACATTTTTATATTGATTTCACATTAACATATTTTGGATACACTGCTTTTTGCTTTTTTAATTTGACCACTAGAAAATTTTAAATTGCAAATGTGGTTCACATTATAATTGTGTAAGGCAGCACCAACTTAGAACATCAAGGATCAAATTAAGTGGATAGTCAAGTGTTTGAGGACAGTTAAGCTCCAGACAAATGATGGTTTCTGTGGCTGCTGGGTTCTCAAGGGATGTGTTTTCTATCATACAAGCAAGACAAGCTCATCCTAGAAATAATAGAGAATGCGGGAAAACATTAAGAACAAAACAAAAATTACCCATAATTCCAACACCCCAAAACAGCTACTATGAAACTTCCTTTCTAGAGCTTTTTTTCTATGCATGACCATGTGACCTAATACTCCCTACCAGGCTTTAGGTTCTCAGACCCAGACTCCCCTAGTGCGAGGAAAGGTCACTTTAACAGTTTGGCCCGAAAGTCTGAGACCTCGAGGAGCCCCATGAGCTGATGGCAGGACTTTGACCCTCCTTTCTTATTCCTGAGCTCTGGTGTGTGACCTGGGGCAGGCCCTTCTCTCGGGGCCATGGCTTCCCTGTGGCCTGAAGCAGTTGGACCTTGCTGTGGGGGACTCTGTGGTAGTCAGGGGACAGTTTGGCCCTGGGCTGATGTGCTGGCCCTGGTCTGGGGATAATCTCTCTCAAAGGATAATGATTGTAGGGTGGCCCCCCAATTCCGCTGGCCATACAATCTCGCTATAAGCCCTTCATGATTTGTGTCTGAGACCCACCCTAAGCCCATTGCAAACATTGACTCGTTCATTCGTTCGTTCATTCATTCATTCATTCATTCATTTATTCATCCACTCCTTGATTCAGCAGACTGCTGGCAAGCTGTCCTCTGGCAGGGTCCTGTACCTGGCTTTTTGGACCCAGCATTGAATCAGATCTCAGCCCAGCCCTAGAGGCATTTCCAGGAAGTAGTCAGCAACTTAGTAAGGTGGGCCTGGGACAGAGGGCAGCACAGGGGCTGTGGGAGCCCGGAGAAGGGGGCTTCACCCTGCCTGGTAGTCAGGGAAGACTTCCTGGAGGAGGAGACACTTAAGTGGTGTCTTCACAGATGAGTGAGCTTTTGCTCATAGGCAGCAGTTACAGCCTGGGGTCGGGAGAGGCTAAATGTGCTAAACCTGATGCTGGTTGCTGCCTGCACGTAGCCTAATGATAAGAGGAGCATGGAAGAGGAGGGATTATCTGTTCTTGTTTACATGATTAAAACCAGACAAATACTCCCTTTATCTGAAAGAATGAAAGGGCTTTGGGGGAAAATCCTTTTGGATGCAAAACAAAGAAAGCATGAGCATTTCCTTAACTAATCTCTCCCTTCCCACTCTCCCTCCCCCTCCCACAGCCATGAGAAGAGTAGCTCCAGGCTGACCTGCACTGGTGGGTGGAGTCCAGATCAGGGTGGACAGGGGTGGGGTGGACCCAAGAGGAGAGAGACCCACAAGCCCCTTAACACAGCCTCCCACTAGGGGAATCTGGGTCTGAGCACTAACCCAAGATGGACACAGGGGACAACCTCTCAGGGAAAATCTAACCATGGCCACATATTATAGACTAGAGACCCGGTGCACAAAATTCGTGCATGGGGGTGGGGTAGGAGGGGGTCCCTCAGTCTGGCCTGCAACGACGCCAGCGTCTCGTGCCCTGGACTCTGGCCAGAGGCCCCTCCCTCCCTCCAAGTAACCGGGGCGCGGGACACTGGGCTCACATCACCAGGGCAACGCCACCAGCATCCCGCCCTGGCCTCTATGGGCGCCACCATCTTTGTGACAGAGTGGTGTTTAATTTGCATATTACTCTTTTATTAGATAGGATTGGGATCCTGGGGCCCAAAGACAGGGGAGTGACTTGCTTGCCTGAGGTCATATAACCAATGGGCAGAGCGAGGTCTAGGACCCAGGTCACCAGCTGCCAGCCCAGAGCTCTAACACATTCATTCATTCACTCACTCATTCATTAGTTTATTCAGCAAGCCTGCAGTAACCACCTACTTGGTAGCAGCACCAAGAACTCATGCTGGGCACTGGAGACCCACAGAGGAGTCAGATCTGTCCCTCTTCTCACATGTCCTCGGTCTGAGAAGGGAGACAGACAAGTAAACAGACCGTGACTACCAGGTCATTGACAGAAGGGGCCAGGAGCTCTGGGAACCCCATGGGCTCCTCACTCTGGGGGAGATGCAGGTAATCCAAACAGATTTTACCAAAGAGGCGACACTGCGCTTGGTCTTACCCAGTGGGTAGGAGTTAGACAATGAAGGAGGTTGATCAGAGACGTCAAACAAAGGGAATGGCACAGGGGAAAGCCCAGAGGTGGGAAAGGGCTTGGCTGCTGACCCTGGACCTGGGGGAGAGGGCAGAACAGGGGAGAGGCTGGAAGGAGCCAGGAGAACTGAATTGTTGGGGATGGAGAGATTCCTATGCCTGCACGTCCCATGGAGCACCGTGAGGGTGCTGGGCAGAGCCAGGAGGATGGCAAGGGTGGGTACACTCAGGACCTGCCCCACCCACAGACCCTGACCCACATTGCCCTCCCAGCTTGATATCCGGCCTCGCCTCTCTGGATGCCAAGACCTCCAGCCGCTTGGGCATCCTCACGGTGGCATACTACCTGTGGACCACCTTCGTGGCAGTCATCGTGGGCATCGTCATGGTCTCCATCATCCACCCGGGCGGGGCGGCCCAGAAGGAAGAGACGGAGCAGAGTGGGAAGCCCATCATGAGCTCAGCCGACGCCCTCCTGGACCTCATCCGGTAACCTTGCCACCAGCCCCTGCGTGGGGATGCCATGCCCGGGCCGGGGTTGCTGGTTCCACAGGCCCAGCCCCACATCTGCCAGAGGGCAGGGGAGGGGCTGCTCGGGGCTGCTCTTGATTCCTCATGGTAACAAGGGGCAGCCACAGAGGCCACCCTGTGCTCCTCCTTCAGCCCCTGTGCTCCCTCTGGGCTCACAAGACTCACAAGACACTGTCTGCCCCCATCAATCAGGCTGAGAGCACCTCAGGGCAGGAGGGGGCTGCTCCTCTGGGAGCCCAGCCCCAGGGCACAGCTGGGCGCAGTCCAGGTGTCAGGGGCTGTTTGCAGACTGACCGGGCTCGCTTGTGCACACCTAGCTTCTCAGGTGAAAGGCCAGCAGTCGTGGTACCCGCTCCCCACCCCGCCTCCACCGCACTTATTTGGTCCCCTTCTTACAGATGAGGGAATGAGGCTCAAAGAGATGATGTGACCTTTCCAGGGTCACCCAGCCGGTGGTGTGGAGCCAGGATTCAGCCCAGGCCGGTCTGACTCCAAGGCTGTGCCTTTCCTGGCACTGCCCCTGCCCGAGCCACGTGGGCTCTGCTCACCATTTGTTTCACGGGCCTTCGTTCTCCTCCCAGAAAAGTGCAGAAAGACCCTGCAATACACCCGCATCCGACTCCCCTTCCCCAAACACCCTACAGGCCATGCCTTCTCCCCTGGCTCCCTCACCAGGGCGGGCCCTGCGCCAGGACACTCAGAGCTGGCCTGGTTCTGGAGGAGAGAAAGGCCCATGGATAGACGCAGACAGTGGGGTGGGGGCTGTGATGGGGGAGAAGAGCGGGGTCAGAGGAGGCAAAGCTGCTGCTGTAAAGGACAGGGTGCCTGGGAGGGCAGGGGCGGCGGGGAGGCAACAGCTGTGCACAGGTCCTGAGCTGAGAGGGAATGTCCTGGGGAGACGTCACAGCCCATTTGGCGTGACTGGCGCAGGAGAAGTGGGGGGTGAGGGGGCAACAGTCGCTGGAGGAGTCGGTGGGGCCGGCCCATGAAGAGCACCGTGAACCAGGCCAAAATTGTGTTTTATCCTAAAGTGGTTTTTAAACATAGGCGTGGCATGATCCAATTCAGAAGGCTCGCTGCCTGACTGAGGGGCGGGAGGGGGCATAGTAGGAGAGGAAGACAGAGGCAGGGACTGGGCCAGGGGGTGGCCATGGGCATTGGGGGGAGGGAGGGACAGGAGGAGAGGGCAGACCAAAGGGCTCAGGAGGATAAATCCACAGGAGACAGGCAGACGAGGGGAGGGTGAGGGAGGCAGTGTGCTGATGAAGGTTCTGGTCTGAGCACCGAGTGGATGGCAGCGTGGTCACAAGCCAGAGGACGGTGCCAGAGCAGGACATCTGGGGGGGATGCCAGCTGATGGCTGGCTCCTGCAGCTGCCTCTCATGGGAGGAGGTGGGAAGCCAGGGGGCAGAGGCGTTCGGTAGACCCGATGGCAGAGGGGCCGGCACCCTGTGGGTGAGGAGAGCAGGCGGGGCACAGCCTGGGGAAGCACCACATTAGAAGCCGTTTATTGGGCTCAACGGGATACTCATCACACTTGCTCTGTGAACTCCTGGTCCCTTTCATTTTCTTGCCAATCTCAGATATAAGAAATCCAGTCCAGCCGAAACCGGTTTGGCTCAGTGGATAGAGCGTCGGCTGCGGACTGAGGGGTCCCGGGTTCGATTCCTGTCAAGGGCATGTACCTGGGTTGCGGGCACATCCCCAGTGGGGAGTGTGCAGGAGGCAGCTGATCAATGTTTCTCTCTCATCGATGTTTCTAACTCTCTATCTCTCTCCCTTCCTCTCTGTAAAAAATCAATAAAATATAAATATAAGATATATATATATATATATATATATATATATATATATATATA